TTCCCTGGCAAAAATTCAGAAGAGGTAATGGAAAAAGGAATATCATTGCTGATATCAGACAGATCTTGGCTAAAAGCAGATGACACTACAAAGATGTTTACCTGTATTTCATTTACTATGCAAAGGCATGTGACTGTGTGGACCATAACAAATTATGCTTAACACTGCAAAGCCAGGGATGCTAGGACCCTTTATAGTGCTCTTGTGGAACCTCTTCGAAGAACAAGAAGAAGGCATTTGAACAGAACAAGGGGATATTGACATGGTTTAAAATTGGGAAAGAGGTACAGCAAGGTTGGAGCCTTTTATTGTATTTATTCAGTCTGCATGATGAGCAAATAATCCAAGAAGAAACATGTGTCATCAGGATTGTAGATTAATTAGCAACGTGGGATGTGCAGACGACACAACCTTGCTCGATGTAAGTGGAGAGCTTGAAGCCCTTACTGATGAAGATCAAAGACCACAATATGGATTAAAACTCAGCATTATTTTTTAATCCACAGAACCAGACCAACGGAGCAACATTATGATAAGTGAAGAACAGCTTGATGTTATCATTTTACTTGATCCATAATCAATACCCATGAAAACAGCAGTCAGTAAATCAAAGCTAGGAGTGCTTTGGGCTAAGCTGCTGCAAAAGACCTTCTCTACCTCAGACACACTTGTAACCTGAGGACTTAAGACTGAAAACCCATGGTGTCTGAGGAAGAAGATAGCTTTATCCAGATTGTTGAACTGTTGGTAGGCAGACAAACATGGTCTTGCTACATCAATGCCCTAAATTCTGTATTAAATATATATTATTCTGACAAACCTATGGCTGACATTCTCAGTGACTATAATTGTCAAATTTCCCTGACAATCAACTCGACTGTTTGTATAAATAGCGTCCAGACATGAAAGGATTGATTCTGTACAAGTGAATAATTCAGGTACTGTGATGTTGGAGTTAGCCTACATTGGCTCAATATCCCTCTAATAGCAGGGCTTTAAAAACTTAGTATCAAGGGCTAATAGAAGACAATATTAATGAAATATTGTTATACCCCAGGGAGATGATCAATAAGACTCTCTTCCATATTAACAAGGAAGTTTTGAAAGGGAGTCAAAGGCACATTAAACAAACAAACAAACGTAGACCCAGGAATGAGTTTGGTGGGCTCACACTAAAGTATAGCTCCAATTTAAGAACAGTTAGTTTTGGCATCATGGTCCTGCTCAATACTCGTCCTATGGAAGGGAACACAGAAGATATGGGTGCTATAGCAAAAGATGGTAAAGAAATTAAATGGTGCCCAACTATCAGATAAAATAACATCTGAAGTCTTAAAAGCTTGTTTCCAAACAAGCAGCCATCTAAGTGAGTTGTCAACTAAGTCCACATGGAAAAAGCACACCAGCATCAGAATACCCAAGAATTGTAAATCATATAATCTAAAGCCAAAGAAGGGGATAGTATTAGAGCCCAAGTTGTGAGAAACTGGTTTGCAGAGGCTGTTGATGACAATGGGAGCACAGGGTACGTTTGTGGGATCTGCATAGGAAATAAGCCTCTGATGATTTCCCTCTGTTAGTCTGGGTAAACTAGAGAAACGAATCCACAGAAACTCATATATGTATGGGAGAGAGTTTTATATATAGGGTAAGTGTACATTCAGAAAGCATCCCAACCCAGTCCAGTCCAAGCCCATAAGTCCAATTTAGCCCACATGTCCGACAGCGATCTACAAAGTC